CCTTTTATTGTATATTGGTGTAAGAGAGTGTGATGACGTCCTTAACATTTATTACAGCCCTTTCTACAACTCCAAAGAGAATATCCGTGCCCATAAGATAGACAATTATGTCAAAATTGAATGAAAGTAGATTAATTTCTGGTAAATTTTCAACTACGGGTGCTTGGCGACTTAATGATGGTACAATTTGAATTTCACTTGAACTTGATGTTGACGGTGCCTACGAGCGTGTTTCACAAAGATATTTTCTTGCTTATTCAACGTGCCCTCCCCCAGGGTTCTCACCTTGTCGCGGTGGAGGGCTCAGTACCCATACACATGTTATGGCGAAGTTAAAGGGCACCCGGGCATCTGGAAGCAAAGTGATTGTGGGAAGCAGCCGACGAACACGGGCGAAGGTCCGGAAGAACCCGTCTGGTGTGCCAGAGATCGCCGCGGAAGCCCCGAGAGGAAAGTACGCGGCAGCTAGCGGTCGAACGCAACGTAAGCCCAGCACAGACGAGGTAGGCTAACGCGGGGGCCTCGCCTCACCCCCTGCAATAAAGCCTGCCGAGTCGAAAGGGAGGCTCTCTCGCTGCGGCCACCAACACCATTAGTGGCAATCGCATGGGAACCTACACAGGCGCCAAAAAGTCAGAGGTAGATGCCGTCCCTACCCCATGTCTGAGGCGAAGTAAGTGTCCTGGCAGGAGTGCGCATCAGGCGGGGTCACAGAGTTGAGGGTAACCTGACCCATTAGTGTGCAGCCTGACCCTTAAGGGGGCGTAGTAGCTCGGGCGAGCCAGGAAGGCTGAAGGATGTCCAGTGATAGCGAGAGTACAGCAAAACGGATGTTACTCAGCGAAGGGTGCTCCGAAGTAGCTGATGGCGACCGGAGAGCCTATACCGGTACTCGGGAGGCGGGGAGCCCACAGGAGTCTAACTTTGATTCCTGCCCCGCCAATGGGCGTTGGACTCGAGGTGGCAGCTGGGACAAGCCCGCATGCTGGGTTAGGGGGCTGTGTATCGGATCGCCCGGTTCGTTGTGTAGTCCCTGCATTGAACGCTTAAGGGTGTGGATAGGCCCGAACTTGGGGGTTACTCGCCTCGTTAACCCTCAGGCACCGCATTGGTGGCTTCCTGGGACCAATCCGTCTGACGCAGGGGAGACCCCAGGGAGTCTTTTTTCATACCATCATGGCTCAGCTGTGTTGGTTTGACGTGTGAATTTACCATGCGTGGTATGGAGGCGCACGTTAAATCTCCATACATTATTCAACGTGCCCCCCTCCAGGGTCCTCACCTTGTCGCGGTGGGGAACTCAGTACCCATACACATGTTATGGCTGAAGGCTAAAGGACCCCTGGACATCTGGTAGCAAAAGTAATTGTGGGAAGCAGCCGACGAACACGGGCGAAGGTCCGGAAGCACCCGTCTGGTGTGTCAGAGGAAGCCGCGGAAGACCTGAGGGGAAAGTACGCGGCAGCTGGCGGTTGAACACGACGTAATGCCATCACAGACGAGGAAGGCTAATGCGGTGGTCGCCTCTCCCCCGCAATAAAGCCTGCCGAGTCGAAAGGGAGGCTCTCTCGGTGCGGCCACCAACACCAATAGTGATCCTTTGGGTAGCCGCACTCCCTACCCATGTCCAAGGCGAAGTAAGTGTCCTAGCTGTGGTGCGCATCAGGCGGGGACACAGAGTTGGGGGTAACCTGACCCAGTGGGGGGGTTACGACGTGAAGCATAGTGGGCCAAATACAGCTATGCGGATCGGGTGTGCAGTCTGGCCCTTTAGGGGGGCTGCACATTTTATGGTAAAAGCAGAGTAGATGAGAGAAGCGTAATAGCTTGGGCGAGCCAGGAGGCTGAAGAATGTTCGGTGATAGCGAGTATACGACAAAACGGATGTCACCCAGTAAAGGGTGCTCCGGAGTAGCTGATGGCGACCGGAAAGCCTATACCGGTACTCGGGAGCCGGGTAACCCCAGGAGCTTAGCTTCGATTCCTGTCCCGCCAAATGGTGTTGGATTCGAGGTGGCAGTTGGGTACAGCCCTCATGCTGGGTTAGGGGGTTGTGCAGCGGATCACCCGGTTCGTTGTGTAGTCCCTGCAGTGAACGCTTAAAGGTGTAGATAGGTCCGAATTTGGGGGTTACTCACCTCGTTAACTCTCAGGCACCGCATCGGTGGCTTCCTGGGACCAATCCGTCTGACGGAGGGGAGATCCCAGGGAGTCCTTCTGCATTCCATCACGGCTCAGCTGTGTTGGTTGGACGTGTGGATTTACCATTAAATGGTGAGGAGTCGCACGTTAAATCTCCATTGGTTATCCAACGTGCACTAATTGCTTATTAAGTGAACTGTTTACACTGTTATATTCACTAATTTATTAAGGTGCCGCTCATACACACTATAATGGTAACTAAATGTTCACTATCCGGCTCGAAAGACCAAAAAACTGTTTCATACGATTTGGTGAACTGGATTGGTGGCGTGTTGATCACATGAAAACTTCTTGACAATCCTAACTAAAGGGTTGTAGGTCTTTGTTTTTTTTACTCTGGTCTTTAGTGCTGATGACACGCTTCTAAAGGGTAGAAAGGTGGTGAGATAGAGAAGGACAGTACAGAAGCATTACTAAAGGGCAAGAGAAGAAAAGGCGAGTAGCGGTCGAAAATTCAGAAACTACAGGTTAAGTTATGAATAAAGGAAAACAGATAGATAAGACATAGAGAGAGACAATGAAACGGAAAGCGAGGTATTACATGACAATTTACGACACTTACATACATGTAATAATAAGTAAATAATTAATTTTTTCTGATGAGATGGTAGAACTATTGACAAACCACAACAAGAAACAACGCGTCTGGCAATGTCTTGATGATGGAATTGAAATTTGTCTCAATAAAATTACAGTTACTTATCCAGTTAATATCATTTAACTACTAATACTTATGTAACCTTTCTTTTATGTTTTTAATACATGTTGAGGTATAGTTTACACAGTGCTTTATTTAATTCATGTTTATTGTAATAAGAAGTTCAAACATTATGTGTAGTAGTAAATTATTTTGTTTGTCTTTAACGTTCGATAATAGTTAAATCAATGTAGCTGCAGTTTTAATCTCAGTTCACAGTTCGTGCACATCTACGTTGCCAATTAATACGTAGGACCGGTTTCAGATTTCAAACTGTTGTGCTTTTCATAAAAAATTTTTGTTCATAATCACGTTGCTTTATTCACCATGTGATTCCCTATTGCATCTAATTTTCACCCTCCAAAGTTCCGCACTTATTTCCGTTACATTCTGAAGATGAGGAGTCCAATCTATGTATGTAAAATTTGTGCTGAAATTCTTATACAACATTGCAAGCGCTGCAATTCTTATATATTCAAGGTCACCAATGTAATTTTCTGGACAATTTTCAGATGATGAAGATTGAACTCCTTATCTATTGTTATCATGGTACAGACTTGGTACAGGCATGACATTGTGGCATCGTGATGAATATAAATACAATAATTAGTACTCTAGCCCTCAAGAAGTCACTATACAGTAATCTTTATAGCACTCATGTGCGTAAAAACCAGCCATAAGTGGCAATTTGTGCCACACTTGCAAATTAATGTTAAAAAATAATATAGGTGGTTTTTATAATTGCACTATTGATGTGCAGTGTAGTGTAATTTTATTTGAATTGAGCCCAAAATACATGGACAGTGGAGGCGGCGGTGGTGTTACAGACGAATGGTGAAGATACTGTGGATAGTGAAGGTTAGAAATGAAGAGGTGTTAGAAAGAATAGGAGAACAGAGGACTCTATGGAAGTCAATAAGAAATAGGCGAGATAGGTTGGTAGGACACCTTCTCAGGCATGAAGGTCTAGTCAGAGACATATTAGAGGCAGAAACGTAGAGGTAGACCTAGATTAGATTAGATTACTCTTCTCAAATAGTTAAGGATGTGGGTTGTTCTAGTTTTCAGGAAATACTAAGATTAGCTCAGGATAGGAAAGAGTGAAGGTGCGTGTCCAACCAGTCTTAGGACTAATAACCTTATGATGATGAGCCTAAAACACACTAAGCCTGTAGTAAATATTTAAGTGTTTAGTACATGTTTTGTGATTTGTTTAATTCTATTTAAAAAGTAAATTAAGAAACAGTGTCTCACTATTTATTTATTTCATCTCTGCAGGGTATATGACACGAAATTTTGTGTGCCATATACTTCTTGGTCACAAATAAATAAAATAAAATAAAAAAATAAATCAATAAATATACTTAATGGCACTGAAAAATGTAGACATTAAAAACAATATAACCAAAAATAGTCAGCGTCATAATAAAGCATCATATAAAAAAAAAATAAACGTAGTTTTTTTAATACTAACGATAAGTATATCTTGTTTTTCAAACTAATGCTGTTCGTAATAATAATACCGAAGTTCATGTAAATTGTAGCAATTCGTCGCAATAGGTACGTACCTATACCTAAACAAATGATACTAAAGTTGACGATACTGATGCTGATAATCATGATATAAAAATTCATAATAATAAATACGTATACATAGCATGTTTAGTAGATAACAACAGAGTAGGAAATCGACTGAATAAACTTTCGATTATCGTTTAAAATACTTTGATTGGTTCGGCACATCTTTTTTTTTTAACGTATAGTGCTTTTCTCACAATAATATATGAACCCACTTTTTTATTAGTATTGTACATGGTCGTTCTATCCCCGCCAACCCTTATTTCTATACCGACCGTCGGTCTACTAATTTAATTTTTTACATAATTTTTTAAAAAAATACGTTAACGCTATCACGACAAAATAAAAAGCAAAAAATTTTCATCCCCTCCGATGCGAGTTGCAAAAAATCCTAACAAATATCATCATTTGGTCCATAAAAGCAAGTATATGGTAAAAATATGAAGCCAGTCGGGGAGTGTTCATTTTTGGAGCTTCATCTTAATAAAAACGTAGGCATATTAAATATGTATGTGTATTGTAGGACAATCAAAAAGTTGAGTCTCCACAAGGAATTCCCGATGAAATAATAACGCTTCCCAAACTAATATCAAATATAACAATTACAATTAACAGTTGCGAACACCTCGTAAGTTTAAAGTTCGCTATTCACATAATATTATTATAAATATAAGTTTTTTTTCATTTAGTTAATTTGAATTACAATTAGAGTAGAATATTAGCAACTATTTTTCAGAAACCAATATATTCAGCAACTGATGTAATAATTAAGGTACAACATTTGAAATCTGATCCATGGGAATCCCCAAGGATACCAGTAACCGATGACGATTACTTAGAAATAGATAAAGTTCTTACTTTGTCAACCGATTTAAATTCTAAGATTGATATGGACAATTTAATTTCATATCCAGTGAATTGTAAGCGACAGAAATAATTTTAATCATAACTTTTTGAAAGGAAACTATGTGAGCTAATTATTTTAGTTACGCTAATAGAATATCCTGGTATAATGGATCCGTTAATTTACGCACAATTAAATGCGCAAAATGTACCTCAAGTAGTCGAAGAACCGATTATAACCTGTGTAGAGAGTGCAGCAAATCTTTCAGATATGTTACAAGATCAAAAAATTGATCGTACTACCCTGTTACGTGACGTGAAAAAAAAAGGAAAAAAAGACGACAAAAAGGGAAAAGACAAAAAAAAGGGCAAAGATAAAAGAGGTGCATCTATTAAAAATTGCTTTTATGAATATATAAATATATTAAATTAATAAATTCGTGATTGTTTTCTGATGAAAGTTATAGTACCTACATAGTACTTACGACTAGTTATATATAAAACCTAAGGAAATATATTTCAGATAGTAAAACATCGAAAAAAAGCAGTAAAAGTGGTAGTAGTAAAGATACAGTTAGTTTGAAGCCTCCTTCAGGTCCACAAGAAGTCGGTTACGGTTGTCTTGATCTTTTACCTTTATTCCTCGGAAAGAACGAATTTTCCGAAAAGATAGTTTTACGTCAACCGGACTCTATGAACGACGATAGTATGATTCCAAAAGATTGTTTACCCACCCTTACGGTAACTGTTAGTGTTGATTCGCCTTGGTATACCGAGGAGAAAAAAACAAATGTTTTAAATTTAACTTTAGAAGCAGCTTATAACTTACCAAGCATAATAATGACAAATATGGAGTACAAAATATGTACACATATTATGCGAGAGGAGGTAGGTGATAAAAATCATTTTAGTTGGCAGGTTTTTCATTATCACGTACCTACCCTATAGAAATTGGAACCATTTGTTTCAATTGGAGGCAAGATATCAAATATATTGGACAGAGAGAGAATAAAATATTGGCCTCCGATAACTTCCGAAGATATTTATCTGGAACCAACAAAATACAGGTATCATATTTTTTTCAGCTGAGTACATTATAAGCAACGATCAGACACTTTTAATTAATTAGGATCGATAGAGAATGTAAATCAATCAGAAACAACATGGATATTAATTTGGATGAATATTTAAACAAAGATGTTCCTAGAATAGAATGGAATATTCTAAAAAGATTCTTCTTAAAGACAGACGGTACAAATCTTTTTAATGAATACGTCAAAAGATTCAGAAAAATTGGCGTAGAATTCTTGATAACACCGAAGGTAGATCAGGTAATAGGATCAAAGAAGTGATACAATATGTACTATAATTATATTCTATTTAATCGAAGAGTGTGGCTGAAAAATCAGGTAAGAAGGGGGCAAAAGAAAAGGGTAAAGAAAAAGGAAAAAGTGCACAAACTGTAGAACCTCAGGACAGTTTTTCAGAGTACTTTCACTTCATGACCTTTATAGATGTATCAAGTTTACTTTATCCAGGAGGTACTGTTTGAACATTTTAAAATTGCAGATTGCATTGTTACGTTATGATATTAATTAATTTTTTTGGTAAAGTTAACAAAGTCCGAGTGGTGTGTCCGTTACGTTCGTATCAAAGTGTTGAATTTGAGTCTGCGACAAAAGTAAACGACTCATTTTTTATTCCCAAGCCCCCAGAAGTATTACCGACACCGGTGGTGTACAAAGGAGGCAAGGGTAAAGGTAGCGCTAGTTCAAAAGGTAGTTCAAAAAAGGGAGGTTCCAAAAAGGGGGGGGCTGGTGATGGACCTCCAGAAAAAACCAATTTAAACAAAGTAAAATGATTTCTGTTAATACTAACATGAGTATTACAAATATTAATCTTTTTCAAGCTTTTACCACCTCCTCCACTACCTCCACCTGAACCTAGTTTTCCTATTTTTGATGATATGGGTCGACAAACTTTTATTATTGTCGAAATAGAACTGTTGAAACCAATATTTCTTCCGAGGAATGTGGAAGATCTTTCAAATAAGTGAGATAGATAACAGTAACTTTTTTTTAAGTATATTATATACTTAACAGAAATGTTTAAGATTGCAAGAGATCGTGCCTCAACGTCCGTCTCAGCCTAAATCTGTAATAGATTCTGTAGTTTCAGAGCAAGTTTATAAAGAAACTATTAAGGAATTGATAGAAAACTTGAGTTGCAATTATCAAAACTACGTAATCGAAAAACAAAATTGTGAATGTACGAATACTTTAATAAAATGAATTTTATTAATGGTTACATAGCATCCATAAATTCCTATTTAGGCCTCTAGTACAAAATTAGTACATCTAAATTGAGGCACTTTGAATTTTCTTATAGGGTTAAATTCAGTGCATTAATGAATTAGTGAATTAATTTTTTTAATTAACTTTATCCACTACAAATAACGTCAAACTAATGAAGAAAAACAAATACTAGGAATCCAACCCGAAATACTCTTCCACTAAGCCTCATTAGTTTGCGGTTGTCTGTACTGGGTAAAGTTAGTTTAAAAAATTAATTCACTAACACATTTAAACTATTTGTTTGAAATTGTAAATTAACACCTAAATAATCAGAAAGTTAATTTGAAGAATCGGAAGGTGAAATTAAGAATCACGAGTATGGTAGGGTGGTGAGGCATAATATAATATAACAAAATTATTTTACATACAGGGTGTTCCACCTAGGACTGTTTCGTCCAAAACTCTGTTATTACAATACATTTAATAAAAAAGTGTTTTTATAAAAGTAATCTGAAATTATATGGTGCATAAACAGAAAATATTTTTAGACATACCGGGTGCTCCATTATTTTTGGACCCTACCTAACTTCGTTATTTCAAATGGAACACTTTTACATGCTTGGTTTCTTTCTTTAATTTTAAGTCGACTTTTTTAACAGTTCACTATACCTATCCCTATAGATCTCTATAGTTTTTGAGCTATTCAACTATTTTTCAAAACAAACACGGTTTCAGCTATTTGAATGAGACCAAATGGCATCTAAACCATAAAAGCTAAAAGCCTAAGGTTTGGGCAGTTAGTTTTAGTACGAATTACCGTATGGGCAAAATGTGTACGTTATTCGGAGTTGGAAATACCGAAACCTACTTTTGGCAATATTATAAGACGAATAACTTTTTTTCTTCAAATGGAATAACCCTTATTAAATGATACCGTTCGATGTGAAATTAAAAGCCCTTTTTACTGGTATAAGGTTCTGAGTATGTATCTGTAACAGTTCATTAGAAAAAATTATTATTTTATATTTAAAACATTATATCAGTAGAAATGGCTTTTAATTTCGCATCGAACGGTATCTTTTAACATCCGTTATTCCATTTGAAAAAAAAAAGTTATTCGTCTTGTAAGGTAGGTTTCGATATTTTGACTCTAAATAATGTATCACAAGATACGGACTCTCCCAACCGCAGGTTTTTAGCTTTCATGGTTTAGATGCTGTTTGGTCTAATTCAAAGAGCTGAAATCGTGATTTTTTTTGAACAGTTGAATATCTCAAAAACTAGTAGAGATAGGTATAGGAAACTGTCAACAAAGTCGACCTAAAATTAAACAGAGAAACCAAAAATATATCAGATGTTTCATTTAAAATAACGAAGTTAGGTAGCGTCCAAAATTGAATACCTTTTATTACTGAAAACCACTTCTATAAAAACATTTTTTTTATTAAATGTATAACAAAGTTATGGATGAAAGCGTCCTGTATAAGTGAATATCATACAAGATTTAGAAAAGTTACTAAGTTACATATTTAATACGGGGCACATTTTGACTTGTTATACCAAAATATTACATTTAATTTAAAATAATTAAAAGGTTAGTCCTCACCACCTTGCCTTACTAACTTTTCGTGATTCATCGATCTCACCTGCTGATTCCTCAAACTGGTTTCCTGATTATTGACTCCGCTATTTAAAGGATTTTTAATTGACCCACTAACCCAGTAACAGACGATAGCTTGGAATTTTAAATAAGTAATTTAAATGTTAATGACATAAATAGGAATTTATGGATACTATATAACAATAGTAGTTAAGAAAGCACTTGGTATCCTGAGCTAATCTTCGCATTTCCCTAAAACTAGAGCAACCCACATACTTAACTATTTGATAACAGCAATCTAATCTAGGTCTATCTCTACCCCTCCTAACTCCTGCTTCTGCCTCTAATATGTCTCTGACCACACCTTCATGCCTGAGAAGGTGTCCTACCAACTTATCTCGCCTATTTCTTATTGACTTCATGTCCTCTGTTCTCCTATTCGTTCTAATACCTCTTCATTTCTAACCTTTTCTATCCACGTTATCCTCATCATTTGTCTATAACACCACATTTCGAAAGCTTCTAACCTTTTCCGCCGCGTCCACAAACATACACCTTTAACAACCTTTTTACCAAAGGTCTCTATAAGTTAGTTTATCAGAGCATCTTCGTTTAGTTACTAGGTAATAGATATTGCGTCGTCCGTCAGGCAAGCACAACAGTCTTTTTTCCTTCTGTACTTGGTCGTCAAGATGTTCCTAACCGCCAAATCTGCGTTTGAACTCGAACGCGATACCACGGCTCATTCTGAGATCATATATTTCTTAGATATACCAAAGAGGTCTCGTCGGATTTCTTGCGTCACTCCCAATCTCCTGTTAACATGGGGGCCTTCCTTCATGAACTACTACCTTCGGCTTCTTAATTCGGTAGATCACGTCGTTAATCCTCTTCACTATCTCATAGGGTCCTTCCCAATTCTGTTGGAACTTAGGTGATAGTCCACGGCGACGATGAGGTTTATACAACTAAACAAGATCTTCAGTTTGGTAACCACCTGATGTAGCCTTGATATCGTAGTTTTCTTTAAGCCTGACACCAGCAATCTGCGTATGCAGACGAACCGACTCGTGGATATCGTTAAGCTTTCTTCGGAGATTGGTAACAATCTTCTCCAGCCAAGTCATTTATTGGTTTACAGCCGAATTTGAGGACACTGGCAGGTGTTATTAAAAATAAAGGCAAATAGCGGTCCCAGTCCCTTTGGTAATCAGACACTACCTTGGAGAGATATTTAATCAAGGTCCGGTTCATTCGCTCAACCATGCCGTCCGATTGTGAATGGAGTGGAGTAGTTCGGTTTTTTTTATTCCTAGGAGTTCGCTTATTCCACGGAATATAGCCGATTCGAAATTTCTCCCTTGGTCTGAGTGCAACTCCAAGGACACCCCAGTACTTGGGTACAGGAAGAAATTTGCTGCCACGTTGATCGTTTTCCATCTTTTTTCCATTCCATCACCTTCTTTAAGTCCGGGTCGTTTTCTTGGTCGTGTTTTATATTTTCAGGTAACCACTCGTCATCGATTACCGTGACGTGTCAAATTGCCTCTTCATTCTTTTCTATTCGATCACACTGCTTGCAGTCTGTTTGACAAGGTCTTCTGGAAAGTTCATCGGCATTCTTGTGTCCGGTTCCAGACCGGTGCTCTATGTCAAAATCATATTCCTGTAGCTTCTCAATCCATCTAGCTACCTGACACTCCGGTTTCTTGAAATTCAGAAGCCAATTTAAAGCTGCATGATCGGTGTGTAGGATGAATTTTCGTCCATATAGGTGTTTATAAAATTGTTCTACACCTTTGACTTCAGGTTTCTCGTCTAGTGACACAGTAGTTTCTTTCGGCTTTTGATAAGGTCTTGCTAAAATAGCCGATTACCTTCTCTTGGCCATCTTGTAACTGCGAAAGAACGGCTCCCATTCCCACATTGCTGGCGTCGGTGTCCAAAATGAACATTCCAATGGGTCAAGGATATATCAATACGGGGCTGTGATTAAAGCCTGCTTCAAAGTGTTAAATGCCGTTTGACAATCCGAATCCCAATGAAATACGCCGTCACTTTCGGTTAAACGTGTCAAAGGTTTAGCGATATTGGCGAATCCATAAACATAGCAACGATAATACGTGCACAATCCCAAGAAGCTTTTTATGTCGTGAACACTTATAGGCACTGGTCATTCCTTCACGGCCCTTATCTTCTCTGGATCCATGGCCATGCCCTTCGCTGATACAACATGTCCCAAGTAAGAAACTTCTTCGCGGAAAAGGTGGCACTTTTTCGAAATGAGTTTCAAATTGACCTCACGGAACCGCTGGAATGGCGCTTGCAAATTCTGTAGGTGTTCATCAAAGGTGCTTCCAATTTTTCTAAACTTTCACTGTTTTCTTCTAATTTGCTTTCCAAACTTTTCTTCATTTGCGACAATTCGTCTTCGAAAAGGAACGTTTCAGGATCATGGCCATTCTTTTTCAACGCCTCCGCGAGCC